TATCCACTTTTCCTGGATTCACTGCTGCCTGTTGCAGCGCAGCTTTTGCCACAGCACTCTAAAAATTCACTAAATTAGCTCTGCCACATGTCGCACGCGAGGCCAAGAATACCACGGTCCTGGGGTGGAAGCTAGCCGGGGAACCCACTGGCAAAATTTCGGCTCCGGAGCTTGCGTGGTTGTCGAGTTGAAATACCCGAAAAGGCAGTTGAAGTAACCGGATATTTTGCTAAACTAGACATGTAAAAAGTACTTTTTACAAGTACCTGTCTTGCTTCCTTGAATACATCATCCGGAAATCGAGTTGCATCCTTATTGATAATCCTTTCACTGGCTTTTTGCCGCTTAATTTGCTCTTCGAGCGTTAATGGTACTTCATCGGGATCAAAATGAACAGTGCTTCTTGCCTTGTACGACCAGCTGTCAAGGTCTTTTGGCTTTTCTGAACAAAATATATATTACTTTTCACATTTTTCTTAACTGAGTACGTTTGAAAACAAATGAAAAGTAAAAAGAATGCTGAAAACTTGATATAACCTGGGAGACATCCACATAATATGACAGAAAAATTAAAATAATTTAAGTGAAATGCAAGTTGGTAAGAGCAGGTTACTACTCTAGATGCGACTTTTAATCGAGCTGGACCTGGAAAAACGACCAGGATTCATGCAAAAAACTGATAATCATGCACGTTGGACGCCCATGCGGGTCTGTTATGCAGGAATGCTTTGAAAAAAAATGAATTGCCTGCGCATGTTGTGTCTTTTATAGACAGTTCCTGAGGTGCTTCGCCATGTCCCCAACCCCACAAGCGCAACGTTTGCAACACGATGTGGGTGATCAATACCCGCTACGAACATGAAAAAAACCCTTCACCTAGTAATTTCTTTAGAAGATGAAACAAACGTTAGGATCGCTAGCAGGCTGAGCATCACCGAGCAATACAGAATCGGTCAAAGCAAATGGACTAGCTGAGAGCTGCACAGATGGAAAAATCCACAAAATAAATAATTACAAAAAGTTAAAACTCCTTCACGTTCACTGTTGTTAAGTGCAGGTACTATTCATCATTTATGGGGTGCAAGTACTCAAAAATTGGCCTACTGCCAAGCAACAACTACCGGTTTGACAAGGCTGCCAACTGGTTTCCCTCTTTATGGATTGTCTGGTAGGCTGGTGGCGGTTTTGCCTTTCCGGCACGCAAAAGTATCAAATTACCAGAGAAACGAATCGCAGAAGTACTGGTTGTCCCAAACGACAGAGTCTAGCCGTCGCCCATTAAAATAAAATCAGCCCTACTTACTTTTACATCATGCCTGCTAATATCAGTACATGGGAAGCAGCAAAATTAAGCTTCCCAGTGGCTAACAAAAACAATTTAGGCAATGCTACCCTTGCTGTCCCGTACAATGTGAAGGTACTACACTTATAAAACAAAATAACTGGCTTGGATTCAGAAAATGGTACCTCAGCAAGTAAAAGACAAAGTTCACTTCACGATTTACTCTCCAAGAAATGAAGGTACTCAGAAAGTACCCGATTGGTAGGATTTTGCCGACAGTATTTGACAGGGTCCCACACAAAGACATCAGTACCATGCCCGGTGTCCTCAGTTTACTGTTGTTTGATCGCTTTTCTAGCACAGGCGGATCCAAGAAGGACGGCGGGGGGAGGCTGAAGGGCACTAATGCTGCAAAAGCTCGGATCTAAAGCTAGAACTAAAGTAAACTAAAGCCTGGAGTACCTTTAAACTAAAGTAACTTTTAGTGACAGTTTTAAAACTCTACTTTTAGTTTTTGCATAGTTCCAGGGTGGGAGGGGAATTTTCTCCCCCCCCCCCCCCCCCCCC